CACAGTATTCCAAAAGTTATTTCAAAATGAACTCATTTTTTTGGAGACAGTATAACAACAACACAGTCAGTTCCATCCTTTTAACTTCCTAAATCTGGTAGCACAACCTGTCATCTCAATCCTGAGGGGGAGGGGGGAATCACCAATTCAAGAACAGACCTCAGATTCAAGAACTGCCAGGCTATACAGTAAATATGAAGCCAACTAAATATCATCTTTTCTCTAAACAAACCCACCTAATCATTACGTACTTTTCAACAGTTACTGCATTAGAGCTCTTAGAAGCATTATATGCTATCTTTAAAGATGTTACTAAAGGCTATTAAAACTTAGAAAATTAGTTAACCGAATAAATAAAAACCACACTAGAAAAAGACTAGCACCAGCAGACCAGGAGTAAAACTCAAAGAACCATTTCTGAGACCATGCTGCACACGAGTTCTGTTCTGAAAAGGTGGAACACTTTTTTGGCCTACTACTCTTTTCCTCAAGCTTCAGGAGGACAACTGAGTTTACAAGCCTACCCTTAACACAAAAGAATAGGAGAAGATACTTCATGAAGCCATCCGAGAGCTGCCAGTAACCCTAGCAGTTGGGAGAAGAGGTAGGATCCAAAGAGGGTTCAAGGAAACCAGTCTGGCCTTCATGAGACCCTAAAACACAGTAACAAAAAGAAGCAATCCTATCAGGCAGTGATAGCGTAAGCCTAAGTCCCAGCACACAGAGGCAGCAGGAGCTCTTTGAGTTAAAGGGTAGCCTGATCTACAGAGTGAGTTCCAGGACAGCCAGGGCTACATGGAGAGACCATGCCTCAAAAATGAGTGAGTAAGTGGGTGAGTGGGTGGGTGGGTGAGTAAATAAGAAAAAGGAGCAATTCCAGGGCTAAACACAATGGAGAGTCCTACCCTCTCCCCAAGCAAGACAAAATTGGGAAGTTCAGTAAAGTGTTAACAATATGTGGCACGAAAGTTCAATCCTCAGCATTTGAGTGACCCTTTTCCCACTTTTTATGAGAATTCTGAGATTCTTGATAGTATGTAAAGCAAAGGACTACAAAGCTTCACTTCTATTCAACAGACTTTTTCCTTTTTTGTGCAGGTATGTGTGCATATATGATCACAGAGAGGCCAGAGGTCAACTTCAATGTTGTCCTCAGATACCAACCACCCTGTTTTTTGTTTTTGTTTTTTTTTTTTTCAGACAGAGTCTCACACTGGTCCGGAGGAGCTTGCTGAATAGTCTAGGATGGCTGGTCCAGGACCTCCAGTCTCTACCTCAACTTGTGACACCACTCCCAGCCTTTACCATGAGAGCTGGGGAACAAACTCAGAGCCTCCTGTTTGTGTGGCAAATATTTTACCAACCCCACTATCTCCCTAGCCCCCATACTCTAGATTAAAGTGGTCATTTTAAATAGTTAACTGAGACTGGAGAGGTAGCCCAGTGGTTAAGAGAACTACTGTTTCAGAAGACCCAACTTTAAATACCTACATAGCAGCTTACAATCTATAACTGTAGTTCCAAGACATCTAATGCCCTCTTCTGGCCTCCTGGGCACCAGGCACACAAATTAGATGCACATACATGTGAGCAAAAAAACTCATACATATAAAATGAAATAAATCTTTAAATAGATAAGTAAATGAAATAATCAAATCTAACCTTAAGTATCTAGATCCGACACTAATAAAATAATATAAAGTTACTGAAGGGGTCAAGTTACAGTTAGTGATGGAACAGTATGTGCGAGACCTGTAAATTTAACTTCTATAAGCAAAGAAAATTTATTTTAATACAACTTTTTGGTTATATAAAATAATTCTTACTGAAGTATCCTGAAACTACTCTAGTAACGGCTTTAATGGAAAAAAAAAAAAAAACACAAATAAATAATGAAAAGATAAATATCCACTACCTGCCCTGTCCTGTGTATCATCATTCATAGAACTTTTGCTAATTATTTAATTTGAATTCAGGAGTGAACCTATTTGACTTCCTAGCAGTGACCTCTAAGTATCACATCCCCCACACTTCACACAGATTTAAGTATAGATTCCATGAAACTGCCCCAGGCATGGCTGGTTTACGGAAAGAAAAAAACCTGAAAATCCAACAAGAATTAAAAAAGAAAAATCTACTGTCAGAACTGAATAAAAAAAAAAAAAGAAGAAGAAGAAGAAGATATGATTACTCCTAGGTATGGGTTGAAGAGGTTTATTGGTGACATGAGGGAGTAAATAGCCAGAGGCATCTGAAAGGGTCCAGACTGAACCTTGCATGTGGGAGGACCAAGGGGTAAAGAAAGGAACCAGGAGTCATAACACCAGAGTGAGGGAGACAAAGCGAGAGAGCGAGAGCGAGAGCGAGAGAGAGAGAGAGAGAGAGAGAGAGAGAGCGCGCAATAGAAAGGATATCCAAAATGGCTGGGTTATATAGAGAACAGCTGGGGGAAGAACAATGAAGCTCGGGGGCTGGGTGAAAAGTGCTGAGAGGCCAGGACACTCCAGGTATTGGTGATGCTGAGAGGGACAGGTAAGCAAATGTCTGCTGTTAGCAACCTCTGTTAGCCATTTTTCCTGAGTTTGAGACCTAACAAGAACTTTGAACAAATTCCAAGTAAGTAATCTGAAGCCAACTGCCTCTCATGCAGCCCAGGCTCTCCTCTAACTTGCTATGTAGGTAAAGATGACCCTGAAATTCTAATATTCTGGCCTCCCAAGTGCTGGGATTATAGGCGTGAAGCCACCAAGCCCAGTTTATGCAGAACTGGGAATCCAATTCAGAACTTCGTACAAAGCACTCTATCAACTGACCTATATTCCCAGGCCCTAGAACTTTAGTTAATAACAAATTTAACAAGCTGAAATCTAATACAGACGTAAGTATCTAGGGACAAGTAGGAAAACTCCTGACCCTTGAAAAAGTATAAAACAAGCCTATAATTTTAGCACTAGGGAAACAGAGGCAGGAAACCAGGAGTTGGAAGTCAGCCTACACTACATACAAAGACGTTGTCTTTAAAAAAAAAAAAAGGGGGGGGACCCTCCCCCAAAAAAACAGATGATTAGTTTATAGGAATGGTCACTATGTATGAAAGAACTACATACAAGCTAATCTCTAACACCAAGAAAGCAATGCAAAATCCCAGTCCCCTACATCCCCACTTCTTGGACTTGCCTACATTTTTTAAACAATTCCCTACCCCCCAAATGCTAACGATTAGTGTCTGGCTGAACCATGACCATGACCACGACTTATGAAGTATACTGATTATTTATACAAAATAATCACAATAGATGGTTTCAATTACCTGGCAAAGAACTTCAATTGTTTAAGAACAAAAATACCAAAAAAAAAAAAAAAAAAAAAAAAAAAGTTCAGATTGTCTTCATGGGAACCAATCACAAAAAAGGAAGTGTTGACAGCTTTAGCTTAAACATTCAGAGTAACACCTCTAAAATAAAAGGTACTTTCTCACCATTATTTCTCAATGTGACAATACCAAAGCAAGTTTTTAAGTTTTAGCTTTACAGAGTTCTGTCCATACAGAACCGAAATGCTAACCCAGGAATGTAGTGTTCTTTTTGCTTTTCTTAGATGTGTTTTCATTTCAAAGCGGGGATGAACGTGAAATAAATAAGTAAATGTGTGTTGCCAAGAAGCCTACTTTCTGTATCTAATACTTTCTAGAATCTCATTACAATGGCACTAACACCTACGACTTTCACCCCACAACCAACCAACCAACCAACCGAACACATACACCACCTGCTTTCTTCATTATAACTGTAATTAAACAGGTACTGTGCCCATTTTACAACCAGAGGACTATTAAGTGTCTTCAAGCTGAATGCTATTAAGGCACGTGAGCAGTTCCATCAAGATTCACCTCCCTAGATAGAGCCAGGGACCACAAACAGTACATGGAAAAACTCACCTTCCTGCCGCTACTAAGTTCGAGGAACTAGAAATTTGTTTTATAGGGATGAACTGGATTTTTTGTCCTCCTCCTTGAATTGTGAAAACTTACTTAAAAGCAAGACCCATCCATCCCTTTCTATCTGACTCTCAAAATGTGTTGTCTAGAGTTTCCACACTGAAGCGAAACAAGCTTCCGGGCCACCTCATCATACAAGATTTATGAAACATCCGAACCTGCAAGTCTATCTTTAAAAATACTCAGTTTATAGATGGAGGGGTGTAATAAAGTCAAACGTCAAGGTCGGAATCCAGATGTTGTATAGACACGGTCACTAATATTTTTTTCAACTTCTATGGGTAAAATCCCTGGATACTTGGGTTGCAAACGACCTTTCCAAAAGTCAGAATACAACTTAAGCCTATCTAAATCTTTGCGGCCTTTCATCAAATAGCAAACTTGGTATTCCCAGCACTTTACGACAAGCCCTCCTTTAAAATGGCAAAACTGAGGCGGCAACGGATCGACTAACCGCAAATACTAACTCAAATCAAGTTCACCTAAAAGTTAACTCCTAGGTTTTACAACTATTTTGTATTGACTTTTAAGCAATACCCGAGAAAATAACTTTGCTAATTCTCAACAGCAAGTCGTTACTGAAGTTTTACACTATTAAAAAAGGCCGACAGCAAGTAGATCCGTGAACCTCTCCCAGGACCTGCAAAAACTCAATCCTCGGGAGCGGTGGAAGCCCCGAGTCTTTGGATCTACTTAAGCAGCTTCGGGTTGGAATTGCAATCGTTTGCGGAAGAAAGCGAAGAAGAAATGCAAAGAGTGCCAAGGCTCCGACACGAGAGTGTGAACAGAGGAAGGAAAAATCCAAGCGCTCGGGACCGGGAGGGTCTGGAACACACAGGGCCTCGCTGGAGAGGGCCGACTCCCACCTTCCTCGCGACAAGCCGGGCGCTCGGGGACGCGGGGCTGCCGAGCCAGGGGCAGGTGCGGCCTCGGCCGGCGCCCACCCGGGCCCAGCTCGGGCCGGCTCCCCGCCGCGACCCCACCCGGCCCGCCGTGCCCGCACCTCTCGGTCCTTGAGGCCCAGCAGGAGCACCTCCTCCATCAGGGTCAGCCGCGTTTCCTTGGAGTCGCCCTTGTCGTCGTCGTCCTGCTCGTCGCGGCGGCTCTGCGCCTCGTCCTCGCCGCTGCCGCCGCCGCCGCCCGCCGCCCGCTCCTTGTCGGCAGCGCTGCGCGAGGCCTCGGTGCGCCGCTGCACTAGGCCCGAGCTCCGCTGGGTCAGCGAGGTCATGGCTCCGGCCGGGGCGCCGCGCCGGACAGACAGGGACGCGGGACCGGCCGGCTCTCCCTCACGGCCCCGGCCCCGGAGCTTCCGTGTTAATTCTCGGAGGTGGGGCGATGTCCGTGGGCTGCGGGGCCGAAGGCAGTCATGAGGAGCCGGGTCTGGGCGAGGCCGGCGGGCCGAGCGTCGGCAGGGCACACGGGGGTACCTTCCGCCGGCGGCTGTGACCCCCGACACAGCCCAGGATCCCCAGCGGAGGCGGCGGCGGCGGCGGCACTTCCCAATATGGCGGCGCGCGCTGACGTCACCGGAGGATGTGGCAGCGCCGGCGCGGGGCGGGGCCGGGGTGCCGGAAGCGGCGTGCGCGAGGGGAGTGGCTAGCCGCCTCCCCTCCCGGCGGGCGGCCGGTCCCGCAGGGCCCGGTAGTGTCCCTGAGTCTCGGGACCTGAGGTCGGGGTTGGCCGTCCGGCCCGCTCTCATCCGCATCTCACTTCGCTCTCACGGCCCAGCCTGACGCCAGCGACCAGCAAGGCTTCTCCTGGATCCCGGAAGCCGAGGCCACGCGAGGGCGGGCCCCGCTGAGCCCTTAGCATCCCCATCTGTCCTCGGAGGCGCTGAGCCGGTGTGACCCGGGTCCCCACGACCTACAGGAAAGAGTTGGATCTCTGCCTGTGGAACTCTCTGGCTTCAAAAGAAGCCATCTACACGCAGGCGTCTAAAAGTGTTCGTGTACTGTGCTCTAGCGTAGAGAGGTTCAGCAAATTGACAAGTTGTGTTTGTAAAACTTTTTATTTCCTACCTCTGGCTGGGGCTGTAAATTAGCCAGAGCGTAGGGAGCACTATACGGTTAGTGTAGCCGACCTTAGGATCATTTTATGGCGACAGTAAACCTCTTGCGTTTCATGCCACGTCCCTGTAGCCCTAAATGTCTTGCGGTGTAATTACTAGGTTAAGTCCCGTTGGCGTGCTTGGCAGTTTGTGCAAATCAAGTTAAAAGAAAAGCTGCCAAACCCGAGAGGGATTTGGAGGAGCAGAACGGTGGAACTTGTGAGAAAACATTGTCCAGAAACGGTATCGTAGATCCATCCAGCATCATTTAAAATAAACAGTAACCACAGACAGTGAGTAAGCAAGGTTTAAACAGAATCTTCTCCATAAATACGTTTTCTCAATTCCTAAATGGACAGACAGCCCCATCACCCACAGCCCCAAGCTATCTTCTCTTTTTGTTGCAAAAACAGTTTGCCGTCAGCCAGTTTCTCCCATTCACATCATCATCTTTTTGTTCCTTCATCTTTCTGCTAATTCTTTGCCAACTGACTTTAAATGTTTCTTTGCGACTTAACTGATTATTTAACTCATGAGGTTAATACAAAGTTGTGCCTGCAAGCTGTGCCTGTTCAACTAGTTGCTCCTTTTCATGTGGAGGTTTTATAATGTGGTAAAATGTGAAGCCTCACTGGGGAGGTGGTCAGTGGGTAAAGTTCTTGAGGACAAATTAGAAACTCGTTCTGGGAAGGCAGAGGCAGATTCCTGGAGGCTTTCTTGCCAGTGAGCCTAGCCAAATGGGCAAGCGCCTAGGTTCCAGTAAGAAAACTTGTCTCAGAAACAACGAGGGCGAGGGCGAGTGGATGGCTCAGTGAGTAAACTGCTTGCTGCCCTAGAGGGAAGGCGAAAGTTCAAATCCCAGCACTCCTGAGCACCACAGTACATGCCTGTAATGCCAGCCCTGTGGAGCTGAAAACAGATCCTGAAACAGATGCTTTATTTGTGAAACAGTCAAGGAGGGTACGTGAGGTCAACCTCTGGCCTCCACAAGTGAGTGCACAGGCAAGGCCAGCATAGATAACACACATACACATACAACACAAAACAGTAAAGGATGGGGGCTGGAGAGATAGCTCAGTGGTTAAGAGCGCTGTGTGCTCTTCCAAAGGACCCGGTTCAATTCCCAGCACCCACATTGCAGCTCACAACTGTCTGTAATGCCAATTGCAAGGGCTCTGACACCTTCACACTAATGCACATAAAATAAAAATGAAATAATTAAAAACAGTAAAGGAGAGCAGACCTGAGGAGTGATCACCCATAATTTTTGGTCTGTTTGTTTTTGTTTTCTGAAGCAGGATTTATCCTGCACCTGCCTCCAAAGGACTAGTACACCACCGTTGCCACCATCACCCAGCCCCAATTTTGATAATGTGAATCCTAATCACCTGCTCCTCAAGCGTGGCCCAAACTTCAGGAATCTTCCAGTGAATAAGATGTGGTCTAACCCACATGCCCATTCTGAAGTGGTATACGTGTTGATTGCCCCCAGCCGCAACCACAACTCTTATGTTGTGGCTCTGTTCATCCATATGCCAGTACATAAGCTTCTAATTCAAACTTCATATTAATTCTGCTGCTTCTTTTCTCCTGCGTTTTCCTGGTGTTTCTCCACTAGTTTTTCCATGTAAACTGCAAAATCACCTCAGAGAAAAGAAAGAAAAAAGACAGCGAAGGAAAAAGTGAAGGGGGGCGGGAAGGAAGGGGAAACAGAGGATGATTTAAGAAACAAATATTTTTAGGGAGTCTAGCCCCACCCCTCAATGGTTGCAGCACTCAGTAGAGCAGGCTGCACCTTGCCTTGGAAGCCATAGTAGAGCTGACTCTAGTGGTATGAGTATGGGAAAGCTGGCCCCACCTCTCACCCACTGTACAGTGGCATGGGCACAGGGGAGATGGCCTTGGCCCCAGCCTGGGCAGCTTGGGAGAGTAGCAGAGTCGGCCCCACTCCTCACCAGCTGCAGCACTCAGAGAGAGGGCCCTGCACCTCGCCTAGGCAGCATGGTAGAGCTGGCTCTGGGGGTATAAACAAGGGGAGGAAGTCCTGCCCCTTGCCAGCTGCCACAGATAGGAGAACTGTCCCTGCCCCTTGCCTGGGCAAAGCTGGGGACCTAACCCTAATGGAAGACACAGGAGAGCTGGCAGTCTGACCATCCCCAATATCTCTCCCATCTACAAACTACTGGAGAGCGTGAAGGGACCAGTCCTACAGAACCAAAGCTGCAGGATCTTCATGACACTGGGAAACAACTGGAGTCCTAATAAGGATTCAATATCGATGGTGTAGCAGAAGCCAGAGGCCTTGAACCAGACCAATGAACATTTGCAAGTAAAGGTGTGTTTGGGCACACTGAAGCTTTCACAGCAAGATGGTTTTTTGTTTGACTGATTTTATTTTTACTTTTTTTTGTTTGTTTTCTTTGGGGGGGGGAGAGGTTGCAAGGGAAGGTATGGAGGGTGGGGGAGATGCATGATGTGAAATTCACAAAGAATAAGTTTTTTTTTAATGTATTGCTAATAATGACAATGACTTTTTCTTTTTCTTTTCTTTTTTTTTTTTTTTACTAATTAATTAATAAATATGTGCCAGGTATGTTTTGTGGTCACCCCTCCACCAAACCTTCCAGGTTAAGTCTGCTGCTGTGCTGGCCAATTCCATGTGGGATCCAACCAACCATGGAGCTGCGCCTAGGGAGCCACACCTGTGCTGTCTGGAGGCTCTAGAATCCTAGAAGATTGGTAGAGTTGATGCCTACCTGTTTCCCTTCCTTCCCCAAACAAGTTTGGCTTTATTTTGTTCCCAGGCTGTCCTGGGGACTCTCTATGTAGCTCAGGCTAGCCTCAAACTCACAATCCTCTTTCCTTGGGCTTCCCAGAGCTAGGATTATAGACACACACCACCACCACACCTGGCTTCTCAAATGAATTGTTGTACAATAGGTTATGTATCTTCTCAGAAGTTCAACCATGTTTTCAGTCCCTCCTCCTGATTCCCGGCCCCTCCTTCCTGTAGTTACACTCCTAACAAAAATTTGTGCCATGAAAACTTTTGCTTCATCATGGCTTCTTAGGGAATCCAGACTAAACACCCATCTCACTGGAAAAAGAGAGTTTATAGGAAATCAAGTAATCTGCTCTACATAGCACAGCTGGCAAATAGCAGGCAGGGATTAGAACCTTTTATTCAGTCATCAAACAAGTATTTACACTTGTTTTCTGCTGGCAGTTATTGTGCCAAGCAGGAAAGTTTGATTGTTGACTTCAGAGGATCCAGAATTGCCCAGCAGGTAAGGCTCTGGGCACGTCTGTGTAGGGTTCTCCAGATTAAGCTAGCTGAGCTGGGAATACCCACCTTAGTTATGGGCTGCAATGGGACCAGCTGCCTCACGAGGCTGCTTCTGTGCCTTCCCTGTGGGGAAGACCTTATCAGCTAGACCTGTAGGTAAAAATAAATCTTTCCCTCTCTCTTTCCTTAAATTGCTTTTGTCAGATATTTTGTTGCAATAATGAGAAAAGTAATCAATACAGTTTCCTTAGAGTGGGTTACAGACATGGGCCAGTGTGCCTATCTCAACTTTTGTTTTTCCTTTGTTTGGGTCCTGGGGTTTTTTTGTTACAGGATTTCTTGTTGTAGACTGACTACCTTGGAACTCTCTATGTAGACCAAGCTGTCCTCAAACTCACAGAGATCCACCTGCCTTTTCCTCCTGAGTGCGGGATTAAAGGTATGTGCTACCACTGCCCAGCCCAACTTTTAATTTTAATAAATATCTTAAAGCACTTAGCAAGTAAGTCATAAATGGATCAAAGAGCACTACAATTGGATTGTTTTATAACCTCTGAGATGAGAAGTCTCAGGTTAGTGAGATGACTCAGAGGAGCGAAGGTGCTTGCCACAAAAGCCTGGGACCTGTGTTCAATGGCCAGAACCCATGCAAAGGCAGGAAGAAAACTGACTCCACAATGTTGTTCTCTACCTGGCACACATCTGCATACACATCATGAACACACACAAACAATAAAAAGGAGAGAGGACAAGAAGTCGTTCCCAACCATCACTCAAAATCCAGAATGACAAAGTTATACAGTACCTGTGATTTTATAAAAAGCAGTAACTCTGATATGGAAAAAAGTCACAAAGCCAACATATGGCAAACAGGATATTTACCAACTGTCTTAGTCATGGTTTCTAGTGCTGTGATAAAACACCATGACCAAAGCAACTTGGGGAGGAAAGAGTTTATTTGGCTTATACTTCCAAACCACTACTTATCATTAAAGGAAATTGGGACAGGAACTTAAACTAGGCAGAAACCTGGAGGCAGGAGCTGGTGCAGAGGCCAGGGAGGGGTGCTGCTCACTGGCTTGTTCATCATAGCTTGCTCAACCTGCTTTTTTGTTGTTGTTTACAGAACTCGGAACCATCAGACCAGGGATTGTATCGCCCACAATGGGGACAC